TGTGCACCAGAAGTTGTGGATGTACAGTGCCAGACCTCCACCTCTCTGTTTAGCAGATGCTGCAGTCTTGTCTGCTCAAAACAAGGAGTGTCCCTCCAGCTCCACCGCAGCGTCCGGGATGTTGTCATCCAACCAGGTTTCAGTTATAATCGCCACACAGCTGTCCTTCCTCTGACACGTTCCGCAGCTGAATCTACTTTGTTGGTTAGTGACCTGGCGTTTGTGAGGAAGAGACTAGGGCCTGCTGGCCTGTGTGGGTTAGCATGTAGCCTAGCAGGTAGGCCGCTTCTCTTACTCCTCTTTTGTTTACGATGTTGCCTCCGTCTCCTTGGCCACAAAGCGGGGATGGTGAGAGCCGTAGTGGTCCGGTGTAACTCTGGTGGAATAAAGTCTGGCTTCGTGGGTGTGTGTAAAGTCCGTATTGTTTCCCTATTGTAAGTAGTACAGCTCTTCCATACTGGATAGTGGCTTCAGAAAACTGTAGTGACAACAAAAACACGAACAAAGATACGAATAGAAAAACAAAAAGCCAAGAGCCCTGAGCCGCTGCATACGTATGCGCCACCATCTTGGAGCGCAACATCCACATGAATGCCAGGATCCAAGGTTTCACAGCCATTGCAATTTGGCCCTTGTCAAAGTCACTCAGATTATTGCCCTTGCCCATTCTTCCTCTTTCAAGCACGTAAATTTCATGAACTGACTGTTCACATGCTACCTAATATATCCCACCCCTTGACAAGTGCAGATGTAATGAGATAATCAGTGTTATTAACTTAACACAACAGTGGTTTTAAAGTTATGGCTGATCAGTGTACATATATGAAATTCTGAGTAAGAAGAACCAAAAAGACTAAAATAGATTTAGTGGATATGCTTTTATACTGATATCCTTCAAATGAAGCAAAAACTAGGATTCCTTGTAGCAAATTATATACACCTGAGAGTAAAATGGGCACAAGTATTGAGTTATCACGGTGTACACACAAGAACTACCACTATTGTTTGCTGGCAACAAGTCTGTCTGTGAAAGTTAGATTTTGGCATATGAACACATTCCACAGCACTTTAAATCTTTCCCAGTAAATAAGCAGGTAGGAGCTGAGTGTTTTGCTCAAGGACATTTGGGATTTGCCAGTTGAAGAAACAAAGTGCCAGCTGCATAAATTGTACCTGCAATTTTATGCTTGTGGAAAAGGGCCTTTTCTGCTGGGTTTATATTTATGCTTTCATTTACACATCAGCCTTCTCATCATTGCATGGCATCCAGAAGAGACTGGTAAACATACAACAAAGAGTACAGGAAAACAAATTCACAAGAACACACAGAATTCTACATCTTTCCATCTGATATCTATTGTGTGTAGGGCATGCCATCCATCGCAAATACTGGTGGACTGTTGGTGTACAGAGAGAAGAATTCTGTGCAAATACAGGTGCAGCTCAATAAATTAGAATATCGTGGAAAAGTCCATTTATTTCGGTAATTCAACTCAAATAGTGAAACTCGTGTATTATATAAATTCAGTACACACAGACTGAAGTAGTTTAAGCCATTGAGTCTTTTAATTGTGATGATTCTGGCCCAGATTTAACAAAAACCCACCAATTCACTATCTCAATAAATTAGAATATGGTGACATGCCACTCAGCTAGTCAACTCAAAACACCTGCAAAGGTGTCCTGAGCCTTCAAAATGGTCACTTAGTTTGGTTCACTAGGCTACAAAATCATGGGGAAGACTGCTGATCTGACAGTTGTCCAGAAGACAATCACTGACACCCTTCACAAGGAGGGTAAGCCACAAACATTCATTGGCAAAGAAACTGGCTGTTCACAGAGTGCTGTATCCAAGCATGTTAACAGAAAGTTGAGTGGTAGGAAAAAGATGCACAACCGACCGAGAGAACCGCAGCCTTGAGAGGCTTCTCAAGCAAAATCGATTCAAGAATGTGGGTGAACCTCACTAGGAATGGACTGAGGCTGGGGTCAAGGCATCAAGGGCCACCACACATCGCCGTTCCAAGAACTTTTGGCCACAGTTGTCGTATTCCTCTACTACTTCATTCTGTGTGTACTGAATGTATATAATACACGAGTTTCACTAATTGAGTTGAATTACCGAAATAAATGGACTTTTCCACGATATTTTAATTTATTGAGCTGCACCTGTATCAGGGCTTTCTCCCTCATTCATCCTCACACTGTTCCTTTCAGGTCTTCCTTCTGCAGGTTTCTTCTGTCAACCTGTATTTTTTTTTTGGAGATCATCACACTACTAAGAGACAGTTGATGAGGAGGGGAGAGGAGACTTAACTACATTTAGTAGAAATAAGTTAATAAAGGTTTTCTCGGAAACTTATGTTTTCTGCCCGATATGACCATTGGATTTGCAGCCTGGTCTCACAGCAAAATGTGTAATAGCTACGTTGGTCCACAGCATAAATTATAATTGTGTCACAATAACGGCTGTAAAATTGTGACATGACAATGTTTGTTGAATTGCAGCCAAGTGTTGTTCTTCATGGTCTTCTTCTTGGTGTTTTATGGTGGTTGGTAAACAAGGAAATATTGCATTAGTGACACCAACTGTGGAGACGTAGTGTAGTGATATGTAGTGTTGATTGTAGGCATACGGTTTGGAGCTTTATAATGTGGAAAAACTAGGGCTGTCAAAGTTAACATGATAATAATGCATTAACACAAATTCCTTTTAAGGCAACTCATTTTTTATGGGAGATAAATACATGCATGTTCTGTGGTTATGACCCTCAGCCTGCCCCGTAGTTTGGCAAATCAGGAAGTGATGCAGCAGCAGAAATGAGCAGAAATTGATAAAGAAATGGATCTTTTGAATGGCAAGTTATGCTTCAAAGCCCTGCCAGATGGTTCTCTCGACAAGACCAGAGTTATTTGCATTTATTGTTGATATGAAATGAGTTACCACCAGAGTCTCAAGTACCACTTGCTGGCCAAGCACACAGCTGATGCCAAGAGCCCTCCTCCCCCCTCGCCAAAGGTAAACCATGCTGGATAGTTTGCAATGGAGAGCAAACTAGACTTCTCTCAGTAATCACAGTTACGTCAGGGTCCCTTTAAGGTACATTTAGAACCAGTGGTAGAAGCAGTACTCAGATTCTTTACTTAAGTAAATGTAGCAAAACAACAGTGCAAAAATACTCTGTTACAAGTAAAAGTCCTGCATTCAAAATGTTAAGTAAAAGTACAAAAGTATTAGCATCAAAACATAGGGTACTAAAAGTAAAAGTACTCATTATGCAGATTGGCACATTTCACATTCCTATACATCATATTATTAATTTTTTTATTTCCTACCAGAGCCAATCTCGGCCAGCAATCGGGCGAAGGCGGGGTACACCCTGGACAGGTCGCCAATCCATTGCAGGGCTAACACATAGATGAACAACCACACACATGCACACACACTACTATGGGCAATTTAGAGACACCAATCAACCTAAGCTGCATGTCTTTGGACTGTGAGAGGAAGCCTGAGTACCTGGAGAGAACCCACGCAAGCACGGGGAGAACATGCAAACTCCACACAGAAAGGTCCCGGAACCTTCTCGCTGTGAGGCAACGGTGCTAACCACTGTGCCACCGTGCTGCCCTACATTATATTATTTGTATTATAATTATTGATGCATTATTGTGTACATATTGCAGCTGGTATGCATATAAGCTAGTTATAATTAGCTTATATGCATTTAATTTGAATTACTGCTGGGTAGCCTGTGAATTTTCCACCAGAGATAAATAAGGTCTTGTAATTATACTGTATTTTTTGTATTAATCTGGTTATGACAAGTAACTAAAGTTAATAAATAAATGTAGGAGTAAAAAGTACAATTACAATATTTCACTCTAAAATGTAGTGAAGTCAAAGTATGAAGTAGACAATATAAATTGTGATCAATTTGCGATTAATTGTGAGTTAACTATGGGCAATTAATTTAATCACAATGAAATACTTTAATTGATTGACAGCACTATTAAATACATTAGGTGGTGATGGTTGGGGCACTTGGATGGGTCAGACAAACATGCAGGAACCAGAGATTGTGTCCTATGTCCAATGTTGTGTGAAGTGTTTTGTGTTTTTTAACAGACTCCAGGATCTTTTCCTAACCTTGGCCATCTAGTTTGTGTGCCTAAACTTAACCATGTAGTGTAGGTTCTGTGCCTAAACATAACCATACTTTCAGTTGCAGTTTTTGATCAAATACTGCAATGTCACAATTTTCTAGGTGTTATTGTAAGAGTAGTATATTTTTGCTGTGAGACTGGATTGGGATTTGCTACACTGTTAAAAATGTTTTATGCATGTATTAGAGCATAAGTAGTAAATGAAAAACTGAATTGTTGTACTTGACTTTCTAAACTGCAAAAGTGATCACTCCACAAGGTCAACTGACCACCCTCTTTTTTTCAAAAGCACAACCACCAATCTACACATTTGCAAAACATTCCTTTATTATAAATAAATCTCCTTTTTGTATAAAAACTGGCATGCTTCAACCATGGCATTTTACAGGTTCACGACCCAAGGCTACAACCCATTTAGCCAAGACAGCAGGAGGAAAACACACTCATCTCATTATGCAAGGGCGATCCATCAGACAACAGTGAGACAAGAATGAAAAAAATCATCACAACCACAAAAATACTTACAAGTAGAGAATAACAACAAACATGTCATAGATTTTCTCTGCCATTTCTCTTTTTAAATAACTTTTAAAATGTAATCTGTTAAATCTCTTTCCCAGCCCTAAAGTTGCCCTTTCATATATAACGTGTACAAGGTTTCTGGAGAGTTTATTTTTTTACATTTTCATTTTTAATTTTCTTTCCTTTTTTGTTGATTTTAATAGTTACTCTGTCCACCACAGTGTCCTATGGTATGGTATGTCACATTTTTCATGTTGTCTCTTTTTTTTTTCTTTAAACAGGTAAGTTCATGGTAGGACCAATGAGCTGTGAGCAGCGGGAAAGCAGGCACACTGATTGGCTGTTTATGTGGTCCCACCTCTTTGTGGTTTGATGCAGAACAATACAAAATGTCTCATGCTTGGATTCCATTGGGCACTTCTGTCAGTCCGCCAGTTCTTCAGCCAATTGACTTTGAGTGACAGCTACTTTTTTTATTTGGCCCTGCCCCAAGACATGCCCCCCTCTCCCGTTCAGTCCCCGTCTCCATCTTCTGTGCTCCCTTCAGATGGCATGATTGCTGTAGCTCACATATGTTGTCTTAGT